AGGAGATTCGTCGGCTCCGGGAGCAGGAGAAGGAGGAGAAGGAGAAGAGGAAGGAGAAAGCAGAGAAGGGCGAAGAGGTGCACTCAGACTCGGACAGCAGCGCGGAGGATGAAGTGGCCAAAAAGGGACGGAAAGGCCGGGCCAAGGCCCCGTCGTCCTCGGACTCTGAACTGGAGCTGGAGAAAGAGGTGAGTACAGAGCCTCGGGGAGCTGGGGACAAACAGCCAGCCCACCCCCTCCCCGCCAGGACAGCAGGGACCTCCGGGAGCGGCAGCCAGCTGTCTTGGTGTTGTGTTGAGCTCCTTTGACAGACCAGGCTATTTCCTTCTGGAGCAGCACAGAGCCTGAGTCCTTATTTTTTGATCTAGTGCAGGCAAAAGCCCCACACCCAAACCGCCCCGCAGCAGCAGCGCGATGGGTGCCGGCATTGCTGGATCGTGCCCGGCCACGGCCGCGCTCTCGCCTGCATTGTTCTCTCCTCCAAGGTAAAGAAGCCAGTGAAGAAGCAGCCCTCGGAGTTGTCAAGGAAACCAAATCAGAAGGAGAAGAGGGGCCGAGCAGAGGAGAAACCACGGAACAAGTCAGCATCTCCTCTCCCTGCGTCGATGCTTTCCTCTGGGGATGGGGCCATTCCTGTGGTGCTGCCCAGACCTCCCCAGCTGCTCCCCTGGGGTGGGGATGGAGTCCCGTGGAGGGGCCCGGGCTCTTATCTCCCTTCCTGTCTCCCAGAGCTGAAGGGAGGTGTTGGGGGGCACCAGACTGAGTTTCTCTAGTGGTTTCCATCTGGTGGGGGAAGATCCTTGGCACGTTGCTTCGGGATTTTGCCTTTCTGCAATGCTGGGGAGCTGGGGCGTGGGGGAGCTGCTCTCCTGGGGTTCCTGCCCGCGAGCTGGGAGACGTGTGTGACAGTGCAGGGGGGAGCGTGGCCGGGCTCTGCTGCACCGTCAGGATGTGCTGCCATGTGCCATCACCCTTCTTGTCAGCCCAGTGGCAAGCAGGGGCTTTCACCTGGATGGTCTCACCTCTTCCCTCTTCCTCCCACAGACCTTTGAAAGTGGAACAACGAGGCCGGAAGAAATCCGACCTGATCCCTGAAAGGAGGGTGGAGAAGAAAAAGGGTGAGAGAGCTTGCCGTCACAGGAAGGAGGGAAGGGAGAGAAGGGATCCAGGGTGGAAAGTACTTACAGGACGTGCAGGAACAGTGAGCTTCTCTGTATCGCCTCCCCAACTCATCTTCTTCAGAGAGGCCCCTGGGGCTGTGTTTGACCCTGGAGATGCAAGAGGGAACTGGGCAGAGGTCCCAGGCTCTGGGCGATGCTCCTCTCCTCATGCCTCGGCATGTCTTTCTTCCTTCTCCAGAGCCCACGGTGGAAGAGAAACTTCAGAAACTTCACAGCGAGATCAAGTTTGCCCTGAAGGTGGATAACCCGGTGAGTGTCCCTGCGTGTGCATTTGGCCTGGGAGGCCCCAGCTCGTTGTGTCCTTGGCCACAGTTTGAGCCTTACGCAGGGGTGCTCAGCCTCCTCTTGCCTTTCTGGAGGCTGGGTGGCACTGGGTGCCTCAGATGCCCACCGGGAAGCTTCCAGGCAGCTTCTGATCTTGGTGCCATCCTTGCAGGACATCAAGCGGTGTCTGAATGCACTAGAGGAGCTGGGCACACTGCAGGTCACCTCTCACATCCTCCAGAAGCACACCGACGTGGTGGCTACGCTGAAAAAGGTAGGGCAGAGGGGCCGAGTCCTTCCCTGGGGGGAGCGAGGAGCCTTCTTGGGCCACCCCAGCTCTGAGGACATCCCTCCTCCCTCTTTCTGGTGCAGATCCGTCGTTACAAAGCCAACAAGGACGTGATGGAGAAAGCTGCTGAAGTCTACACCCGCTTGAAGTCGCGTGTCCTGGGACCAAAGATGGAGGCGATCCAGAAAGCCAACAAAGCCGGGCCTGAGAAGGACAAGGGGGAGGCAGAGAAGGGCCAGGAGAAGCTATCGGGAGGGGAGACGCGGAATGAGAAGGGGGAAGAGGAGACAAATGCTGGTAACGCTCTCTGCATGGCTGGTCCTGCTCTATGTGGGC